ACGAATAAACGATTACATCTTAAGTTTCTTTGGGGTAAATATACATTAAATAAGGAATTGATAAGATCACAGTCAATTTTGTTATTGACCACATTGTATACAAATATAAATGAATTATAAAGTCTGCGGTCATGCAAAGATTGCAAACCCAAAAGCTTACGTCTACTAGTGTATGATGGAGGGCCATCATCCCAGATCATGTTGTATAAGGCATATTTTGTAAAGACTTTCTGAACCCTTTCAATTTTACCAGAGTATACATCGTAGTAGGGGTTCCATATCAAAGAGCAATACTCCAGTCGACTACGAACAAGGTTAGGGTCCTTAAAATCACGAGTATTTCTACGAATGAAGCCAAATAGCGCAAACGGCTTAGAGACAATGAAGTCAATGTGCTTGCTAAATGTAAGCTTTGTATCAAAGATCACCCCTAGATCCTTCATATCGGAGCAACGATTAAGCACATTGTTGCACAAAGAGTAATCAAAAAGAAACGCCTCTAATTTTCTGGTATACGATACAATAGCACATTTCTTGGTATTCAAGTACAAGTTATTTGATGTACACCAAGTTTCAAAAATACTTAAATCCGCTTGCAACTTCCTGCAATCAGAAAGACTGTCAACTTGCAGCAAAAGCTTAACATCATCGGCAAACTCAGGCATTTCGTGAATTTAAAGTGGGAGGGTAAATCATTGAAGAAAAGCAAAAATAATAGCGGACCACAATGGGTACCTTGCGGAATACCTGACCAAGCATTGACACTGGTATTTGAGGAGACTGAACCCATTTTCACAAATAACTTCCTCCCGCTAAGAAAACTAGCAAAGAATTTCAGAAGCTCTCCAGTAATACCATAGAGTTTTAGTTTATGCAGTAGAACAACGTGGTCAACCTTATCAAAGGCTTTGGAGAAATCGGTATATATCACATCTAATTATGATTGGCAATTAAAAGCCTTCACGATATCATTGGTGACTAAGAGTAAGTTTGAACATGTGGATCTACCAGGCATGAACCCATGCTGACAATTGCTTATAATGTTACATACGTGAAGGTAAAGTTTAGAATGAATGATGCTATCGAACAGCTTGGCCAATGTACTCTGTTTCACTATAGGCCTATAGTTACGTGTATCATTACGGTCGCCTGATTTGTAAATTGGAGTGATAGAACAGACCTTCCATGCATCAATAAAAACACCACTAGAGAGGCAGCTATTAAAAATCCGAGTGATGAGACCCACAAGGGAGTCCGCACATAGTTTGAAGAATACCGAGCAAAAACCATTAGTGTCAGATTTACCATCATACTTTAGTTCAGATATCGCAAGAGTTACGTCAGATTCCTCAACTACAAACGCAGATATTTCAGGCAGAGATGGTAAAGAAACCGTAGGAAGACTTTGGTTGTCATACTTTTCATATACACCTTGAAAAAATTCAGCAAACAAGTCGCATGAGTTCTGTGGGTTCTCAGAAACAACTCCGTTATAAGTAAGGGTAGTTGGAAAACCATTAGTTTTTCGTTTTGAGTTAATGTACTGCCAGAAATACCGAGGATTGCATTTGAGACCTGATTCAACATTAAACATATACTGCTTGAAGAGAAAATTATGAAGGCAATCAAATTCCTTTCGAAGGCGCTCAAAATTTTGATAGTCACCCACACTTTAACTTTTCTTAAAACAATTGAAGGCTTTATTTTTTCTATTTTTAAGGTTGCATAGGCGTTTATTAAACCAAGGGGGCTTATTACTACTATACGCCCTTTCTAGGGGAACAAATTCTGAGATGGCTGATGTGAGTAAGGAATGAAACTTTTCGTAGCCGACTAACGGACAATTGGGAGGATTCAGAAAGTCCCAATCAATTGACTTGATAAAATCGTTTATAGCCGAGTAATTAGCTTTTTTAAAGTCATATTGCTGCAAAGAATTAACTGATACGGAATCGAAGCGATAAAATTCAAATTCGATACCGAGTGCTTTATGGTGAAGGGTATTGACAGAAAAAGGAGAATGGTATTCGTTGCAATAAGCTTTCAAATCGTAAGATAGAAACACAAGATCAAGAGTTCGACCAGCGTCATTGAGTACACCGTTACATTGCTTGAATCCATTAGATAGTAATGTACTTGTCACTAACAAATCTACATCAGTTATAAGGTTTGTAGGCATTATATTGTTATTATTATTAAGCCATTTAATGTTGCACAAATTTAAGTCGCCAAGGTAAATAAATTCCGCGTTATCCTTGGCGATTTCGTTAATAAAAGCCACGTTCTCTAGATGCTTTCTATATACTTCTTCATTACTATTAGGAGGAATATAGGAAACAACTAAATATAAAGATTTTTTATTTAAACCCTTAACACAAACACATATCTGCTCACACAACCCATCATCATGGGGCATTTTGATCATACTGCTACACAGATCTGACCTTATGGCTAATAAAACACCACCTCCTTTCTTTAAGCCCGTAGCAATAGCGCAGCGATCCTTACGATAAACGTGGTAATAATTGTCAAAATACTCAGAAGACAATATATTTTCAGTCAACCATGTCTCCGTTAAAGCAATAATATCAAAATCATGCAATGAATTACATTGGTAAAACTGAAGAGCTTTAGTTCGCATACCACTTACATTTTGATAATATATTGAATATTTCTCACTTTCGAATCGGCGTTGATTAGTAGCTCGGGAGGACGTCACTTGACTGCCAACGCCCCCTCCCCTGGTTATTGAAAATTTAGAAATGGCCTCACCTTGACACCCGCCGGCCAAAGTGAGTCATCAAGCAATTTATTATAAAAAGTCGATGACACTCCAAGTTTGTAACTAATGCGCCTTAGCGACTCAACATGTACGTCTTTTTTCACAAGAGCGAAGCAAAACAGAAATTTCGGGTCGATAGATGCATGCTTGGCACCATAGGCGATGACATTGTCGGCAGTTACCGTGGTGTTGAAGGAAGATAAATGGACCCATTTAGTGCGACTTGCAACCTCCAGTTCATTCGACGTATTACTCCCAATTACTAAAGGTTCACCAGTAAAATGTTTCCTACTGGGTGCATTATTAATATTCCTGCTGGGTGCTGTAGTGTAACTGAAAGTCGACCATGCTTAACGTTTATAATTATTTAATTTATTCATAACAACAAGGGTTTCATATTTCAGTTGTTTGAATATTTTGAATATAGAACTCACGCATTGTCAGGCACACGTGCCAAACCGTCAAACAAACTAACTTTAAACTTCAATTTATTTATAATATTATTTATGCTTATGCAGCAATTATTTCCCATAAATACCCCAATATGTTAGGCTAAGAATTCAATTGTAAAAGAACCTACAAAGCGACATTGAGTTGCTCAATAAAATAAATTCAATACAATTAAAACATAAATGAATTGTTTCATTCGATACATGGCGATCCTGCCAGCTTTTTGCGAAAATTAATTTGCAAAAAAGCTATCCTGCCAACAGGTGCTTAGATTTGAATTGCACAGTGGCAGTCTAGTGCTTTGCTGCACAGATCAGCCTGAATCCTGGTTTGCTTAAATTGCAACATTTAGGATTTCTTGGTGTTCGTTTCGCGACTAAAAGCAGTAAAGGCAAAATGGGTCTTCCCCGTGTATTTTTTGATATGACTGCTGATGGACAGCCTCTAGGACGCATCGTTATGGAGCTCCGTCCTGATGTTGTGCCCAAAAACTGCAGAGAATTTCCGTGCCTTGTGCACCGGCGAAAAAGGCTTCGGTTATAATGGCTCCTGTTTCCACCGTGTCATCCCCAACTTCATGTGTCAGGGTGGCGATTTCACAAACCACAATGGCACTGGCGGCAAATCCATCTATGGCGCCAAGTTTGCTGACGAGAACTACACACATGAAGCATAAAATAATAAAAAATATAAATTATATTATAAGCAAACAAAAACTGATGTGCGTCAATCCGCACTCATAGGGCCAGTAAGCGAATTTTCGCTCGTGGCAAAAATATTTTTTTTTATATATACATATACAATACATTTCTTAAGTTACTTTCAATCTTACCTTTTAAAAAAAAAAAAAAAAATTTTTTATGACTTTTTTTTTTTTTAAATATTAAGCCAAAATTTTATCAATAAAAATAAATAAATGTTATTTAAAAATTTACTAAAATAAGAATTAATTAAAAAAAAAGGGTTATAGTTACATACAATTTTTAAAAAACTTATATGATAGGAGACAATTAGAAAAATTTAAAACTGGACATACCAATACAAATACTACAAACTTGGCCTAAAATGGGTCTATTAGACGTAAAAACAGTAGACTCTACTGCAAATGTTATCAACAAAGTTGACGTAACGTCCCCCGACTTGGAAGTTATAACCATCTTGTTATTTGTAATAGTACATACGCCATACATTGGGCAATAACATATTTTAAACCATACATTTACGGAACAAATTTTCTGGTAAGATCAGATCATAGGCCACTATCTTACCTATTTTCAATGAAAAAAAATAGCTCAAAACTAACTAGAATGAGACTTGATCTTGAAGAATATGACTTTGTGGTAGAGTACCTTAGGGGAAAAGACAACTATGTTGCGGATGCATTATCACGCATTACAATTGACGATTTAAAAGATATAAATGTTAAAAATAACACTTTATACAAAATGCAAACAAGATCTATGACAAACAAAAGTTCTCTTAATCAAAACACAATTAAAACGCATCAATCTAATACATATGATAAGCCCAGTATATATGTACCTATTAATAACACTGACGTGAGAAAATACTATAAATTAAAGATTACACCCAAGACATGCTATATCAAACGGGGTAAATCTATTAAAACATATCGCTAGCTTAGAGTGAAAAGTTGCCAAGTCCACTTTCTATGAAAACTCATATTTTTATACAGGAGGCTAGAGAAACTAGAAATGCATCGTTTCGAAAAGGGAAAAGGTCCTTGTTCATGTTTTCTCGTTTATATTGAATGAAAGGAAAATTTGCTAAGTCCAAAAAAAGCTCCGAAAATTCGATAAGGCCAAAATAGTACGAAATCTTTGAATAAAGATCGAATCCCTTTGATTCGTATGGAGTTTTGCTTTGCTTTAAACAGGCAAAATGTTGTATTCAAAGTTTTGCAAAATACTTAAAGAACATGGCTATAAGAACTTTTTTTCCTCTACTCTACAATTTTCAAATAGGGACTTAGCAACTTTTCACTCTAAGCTAGCGATATATACAAATCAATGATTTGTTTGTTAAAGGGAAATTTGACTTAGGTCAATTTTTCTCTAGGCTCGATGATGTGGCCGATAAGCATTCAATTGACAAATTACAAGTGGCACCTAGTGAGAAAATTTTCGAATTTGTCTCTATAAATGAATTTAAAGAAATGGGCAATAAGAAATTAATTAAAATGAAAGTAGCGCTACTGAATGAGGTGACCCAAATAAATTATAAAGATGCAAAAACAATTGAAAGTATATTAAAAAGATATCATGATGACCCGGCAGAAGGAGGTCATTGTGGCATTTCAAGAACCTTGAATAAAATAAAAAGATACTATTACTGGAAACACATGACTAAAACAATCACGAAATATGTTAAGAATTGTCATAAGTGTCAAATAACCAAAGTCACAAAACATATAAAAAGTCCAATGACTTTGACGCCAACACCAAACAAGGCATTTGATACAATATTCGTTGACACAATCGGCCCGCTACCATTGTCAGAAAATGGAAATGCATACGCAGTCACGATAATATGCGACATGACTAAATATTTAGTGACACTACCAACTAAAGATAAAAATGCAAAAACTCTAGCTAAGGCAATTTTTGATAATTTTATTCTCGTCTACGGTCCTATGAAGACGTTCATATCGGACATGGGCACGGAATATAAAAATTCACTTTTAGAAGAAATATGCAAACTTTTAAATATAGAAAAACTAACATCAACCGCCCACCACCACCAGACGTTAGGGACGGTCGAGAAATCACATAAAGCGTTTAACCAATATGTAAGGTCATATGTATCGATAGACAAAAGTGATTGGGATGAGTGGCTTAAGTATTTTACATACTGCTTTAATACAACACCATCAACTGTACATGACTATTGTCCATACGAGTTAGTTTTTGGAAAACTTCCAAATGGGTTTCAACAATTTGATCAGGTTGACAAAATAAGCCCACTTTATAATTTAGATAATTACGCTAAGGAAATTAGATTCAATTTTTCCTAATAAACAATCGTGGTACAAAGCTCAATAAAAAT